TCACACAGATTATACTTTTTTCAAAGATGCTTGAGCACTTTTGCACCAAGGAGCTATGTACCAACAAAGTATTCCCACTAAGGGCTGCTTTCTTATCCTACCAAAATAACAAGAAGCCATTAGTAAAATTGGTAAGCACTCTCAAAAATGCTCATAATGTTTGTGCAAGCATAATTTTCTTTAAAAAGCCCACATACCCATTTAGTCTACCTTTATTTCTAGGGTGCAAAGCTCCCAAATGGAGATTTACCTGGGAGGTTTTCTGAGGACAAACTGGAAGACAGCTTCTGCGTCAGCAAATTTAACCTTTGCTGTTTCAGGAAGCCGCATCTGACGATGCCATTCATAAACTTCAGCAAGCTGCATCTTAAAACTAGGCAGGGTTGTTTTGCTGCTACTACTCTTTGGAAAACTGTTAAATAACTTTATTTTTCTGATGGTTAAAAACTATTTAATTTTTGTGGCCTGTTCATGCCTGTTTGTTCTTTTGACAATGTTTTCCTTTATCTTAAATATATTTTCAATTTTATTTTATTATGAGCCAGAATAACACAAATCCCAAATGTATATACAGCCAAATTTCATGCTGACTAGCTCTAATGGAGTTGCACAGACTGTAAATGAGTACGTATTTTGAACTGTATAAATTGGCTTTAGTTTTTATAATGTAATCTTAGCACACTGCAAGAATTTTTAAAATGAGTCTCTTACATCTGTTTACTCAAATCCATATATTCGTTATTGTGACCTGTTTTTCTAATGTTTTGGCATAATGAAAATGTAACTTTTTATTAGTCAAATCCATTTGTTTTTATTTTTAATATGTTGCTTGGACTTGTTATAGTGCACCTGTCTTTGAAGTTCTTTATAAATATATCTTTGCACAACATTTTACTCAATGTTATTATTTTATTAAATTAATTACACATTTTCCTGTATTAGTCTATTTGAAACATAGCAATATGTACACTAGTGTTTTAATAAATTATACATAGATTCCATTATAGGCAACCAAGTATTCATAATGTATAATCAGTGCACATAAAGTAGAAGTAGCTAATGTAGGAGCTTCTGTGATATTCCTGCCGCTGTTCCTAATCATGATGGAAATGTGCCATTCAGGACACATCAACATATTAGATAGCACTATGCTGTATTCCCAAGGAGACTAAATAGGAATGCCAAAATGGCAGGAGCTTTAAAATAATCTTCCACTGCTGCAATTCATGTTTCCCACTATCACTTAGGCATATCAAGCTGAGGTGTGGGTGTCAGTATAAAGCTTTGATTTTTCAGCTGTGTATGACACCCAAAATTAATTTGAAGTAAACATTTCCTCCCCTTCCCCTCACTTCCAAAAAGCAGATTGTAAGTGACAGCCTCTGCCCCAACATTGTAAAATACTAACTTAGCATTTCCATAACGTGTCTGGCAGTGTGAAAGTTGTACTACCACCGACAACTTCTGCAGTGGCCCGACTAAAACTGGCTGAACTGGGCTGCTCTGTAATGGAATCATGTTCCCCACATTTGCTAGTGTAGTGAATGCAGGCAAAGTAAAGACTTTTCATTCTGCCTTATCATTTGAGCCAGAATAATTGAAATGAACATAATATTCCAGATGAGGATGTACCATATGCTTATATGCTGGAATTTTACTGTCTGTATGTCACACATAGAGGTCATGTTTTACATCTGTTGCACTTTTAAATGTTTTCTTTGACTCCTATACATTGATAACTAGGCTGTCCTACAGGATTACAGCTAATTTGAACTAAATGGGTGGGTAGGTGTGTGTTTGTATGTGAATAATGCATGTGTTTTATTTTGAATGTGCCAATACTGAATTTCGTCTGACACCAAGCTGCTCATCCACTAACTCTGTTAAGTCCTCACAGTCCTTAGTCTTGATTAACCTGATTAGTTTTGTGTTGTCAGCAAACATTCCCAAGCCATCTGTATGTTTTTCCCCTGTTGTTATTCATCTGCTTTGAGATGATTAATAAATATTGGGCACACCAGTTCTAATATGGAGTCCTATGTTACGGGTTAAATATCCCCAGCTGGCGTGAAGACTAGCCAGCACAGCGCCAGGCACCCTCATGAGCTAGTCAGTCCCATCTGGAACCTACCTCCTGCCCTTCCTGTTCCCAGTGTCCTGGATTCTCTCATTTCTTGTCTGTGGTGCTCTTTTGACCATGACTTCTGGATCTAGGCTCCTGGCTTGGTTACTGCCTAGGATCTTCCATTTTCTGATTTCTGGCTCAGTTCTTGACTCCGGTGTGGCGTCTGTGGCAGAGTGGGTAGATGCTGGTTCTCCTTGTTCTTAACACTATGCTGTTAACTTTTTTCCACGTTAAACTAACAATGTAGAAAAAAGTGTCTTGTCTTGAGATGAAAACTGCGAAACTCTCAAAGAGAAGCTTTAAAATTAGATTTTTCGTATAACTTCCCATTTTTTGCACAAGGAAGTGCATATTGGGCACTAAGGGTCCCTTGTGTTTTGGTATGAATTCATTATCTAGTCAGTGGGGCCTTTTGGCAGGGGGCAAGGAATGGGCGGGGTAATTTTATATGCAGGCACATACTCTCCCATGCATTCCTCAGAAAAACATCTTCTGAACTAACAAAATCAAACATTTATTTCACTGAATAACTTTAATTTTTATTAAAATCATCTCTGAGAACTGTGACATAGCTAACTCTTCCTTCTCCGAAATGAGCATGTTTTGTTACTATGTGCTTTTCGAACAAGCCATATTCCATTATGAAGGTAGATGAAGCAAAACCAAAATGTTTAATTGCTATATCCATTCATGATCTCCATTCAAGGCAGTGGAAGGCTTGCGCAGAAGCCAGACACCAAAGTCTGTAGTTTGTCTTCTCTCAAAAAGTGCTTTGCACAGTGTTTCTGAAATACTTCCAGAGACTTGGGAGTGGAGGTGGGAAAATGATACTATGTAGCATATTTAGGGCTTCTTCAAGCCATTTTTGTATTCTGACATGGTTCTGCGATAGCTGTGTTGTCACTGGTACAGTGTATGTAGTGTAACAGAATAGGAGCTGGCTCCAAGTGACTGAGTTAAAGATTACAAACTCAGAACAGGAGGAGAGAGGTCCAGATTTATCTAATAAGATTAATAGACCTTGCCTTCACTGTAGCAAATTTTGGGAGACCAGTATTCTTCGCAGACAGGTAAACCTTAGCAACCTCCAAAGTCCTCTTTTAAAAATTTGGAAATACCAAAAACGGAGAAAGCTGTGTTTCAGATTGTCTGCATTATAGCGAATTGGAGTTTACATGTGCTGCTGTAGGACACAGGATTGTCTCTCCATGTGTAAATTGCCTTTTTCACTTGCAGTGTATATAGCAAGAGCCTCAGTTTCCCTTTTCTTTTCTCATTCTAACTTCTCCTTGACATTCTGGACATTCATGAACAACAATATCCTCAGGAAGTTGGGTAATGACTTGAAAAACCCTGTAAATTCAGACAGGCATGAACATGTTGGAATAAAATTTCAATTAATTCTCTGCTCTTACTTTTCTCCTGTGGAAAGCTGTTAGCCCATTTACACTTTCCTGGGTCATGGAAATGCAGAAGCTTGTTGCAGGTACAGTTTTGCAGTTCTCCTTCAGCCATGGAAAAGGAGTTAATTATCCACCTGATGTGTGCCTGCTTTTGCCTAAACTGCTGCACAGGCGACATACATCTTAATGGGAAAATAGTAGCTTCCTAAAAAGAGAGAGAGAGACAGGGAGTAAATAAAAAGAAAAGGATTTATTTTTTCTGTAGTGCAAGGTTGTGAATTTGTAGGAAGTCTTTGAAGTGTCCTGGATGCATATCTGACAGAAGCATCCCTTTCTTAATAGTGGGTTATACTTTCTAGGTAATGTTTTTTAACACTTTTTGCATTCTATAATATGTAGTTTATTGCAACTTAGGGGAAAAGCAGAATTTACTTAGCAGATCATAGTCTTTCTACAAAGTCTTCTGTCATTTGAGGTGGGGATTTTTTTAACTGCCTAGTTCAAGATGTCTGTGATTCCATTCCCCCAAAAAATAGTTTTGTAGTCACCGTTTAAGAAAACAAGTACTCAATGAATGTGCTGACATTTGTCACTCAGTCAGGTTTATCTGCCTTACAGAGCTGAGGAAGCATGTTGCTGTCTTGAAGTGCTAAAGACTTGTCTATGCTACAAAAATAGACGTGTTAAAACACGATTTTATCCTCCAACATGTTTTTTCTTTCTTACCTTTTTTTTCGTATTTTTATTGGAAATAATGATACATAGAGCCCTAGCCAGTCTTTTATGTAGCAGCTTCCTTTCCAAGCCCCATCCAGCTATAATGACAGAGGTGTTGCCAGTCCATGTCATCCAGTTGCCAACCTTTCATAAATAGCAGTTTCTCAAATGCTAAGTTTCTTTTCCAGCCTTCGTGCATCACCCATTGTTGTTATTTTACTTTAGATGCTGTCTTTCAACGTTGAAATACCTGCCATAAAACTCTATGTGGGGTTTAAATAACTCATATTTTTCTTAGAAACTTTATAGTGTATCAGCAGCATGACAAAACAAGATACAAATGTAGCTAACTAAAATTAACGTGCATCATCATTGATCAATCAAATCTGCTATGCATGTTCCCTTCTTTCAGAAGCCAGGTCAGGACAGTAATGGGAGAAGAAACATTTCCTGTTCGTTCCACTTGTCAGAACAGCAGCAATCTTCAAAAATCCCTGGACCAAAAGGAAACATTTTCTTTTTAGGAGTTGTAATGATGATATAGTAATATGGTTTAACTGTAATTAGTCAGTGTATGTCACAAGGTCTCAAAAAAATCTTTTGCCTGAGTTTCAGAAGCAGTGAGCACTTGCCATTCCCTGTGAAGTATCTAAGTTCTGCCCCGCACCTTTGAAAAAAACAGTTCAGTAAACATTGATAACAGTCTGTAAGGAATAGAGGTCCCATCTTACGTGCTTGTTTCCGTTTCTGAACAGGAGATGTCATTGAATTCCATGGTCCCGAAGGAAGTGGAAAAACAGAGATGCTTTATCACCTCATCACTCGTTGCATCCTTCCCAAATCAGGAGGAGGTTTGGAAGTAGAAGTCATGTTCATTGATACAGACTACCATTTTGATGTGCTTCGTCTGGTTACCATTCTTGAACACAGACTACCCCAGAGCACAGAAGAAACCATAAAACTGTGCCTTGGAAGGCTTTTCCTTGTTAACTGCAACAGTAGCACACAGTTGCTTCTCACTCTTTACTCTCTAGAAAATATGTTTTGCACTCGCCCTTCTCTCTGCCTTTTGATTTTAGATAGTATATCTGCTTTTTATTGGATAGACAGAAGCAATGGTGGGGAGAGTTATAACATGCAGGAGTTGAATATGAAAAAGTGTGTTAAATTTCTTGAGAAGCTTGTCAGAGAGCATCATTTAGCTGTGTTTGCAACCACACAAACAATTATGCAGAAATCTTCAAGCTCTGCAGAAAGTTCCTTTTCCTTAAAACATCAGTGTGAAGCTGATGTAGACTACAGGCCTTATCTTTGCAAATCGTGGCAACAATTGGTAACCCACAGAATATTTTTCTCTAAGAAATGTCATTCTAGTAACAGCAAAGGTTTTTCAATTGTTTCTTGCCATGTCAAAAGAAACCATGTAGTGAAATGTTCATTTAGTGTTGCAGAATGTGGAGTTCAGTTTTAACTTGAATTTGCTTTTAAAGTTATAGTAAATCTTTAGTCTAACTAGCCTTCTGTATTTTTTTTATATCTTTGTACCTTCTTAATCTTGATTTGTTTATGAATTTTGTTACGAACATTAATTAAATTCTGTGAAGAGCAGAGGAAATACAAAGATTTGAATGACTGTAAGTTCAGCATAAAATAGAGAAGAATGTTGTAACTATTTATGTGTGATTGATACATCAAGAGATTAAATCAAGAGAACTAGAAGTCAAGTCATCTTTAACTCTGACTCCTTTCACTAACATTTCCTAAACAGCATACAACCAAATGCACTGACTCCAGCGCTATCATAACCCTTTTCACACCTCTTCCTCTTCTAAGCTACACAGACTGTAGTCTAGCTCTGTATGTGGGAGTTGGTGCATAGGCAAATGGTAGTGCTTTGTAAATATTGGCCTTGATTGACTCCCACTAGCATAGGGACATACACTCTGCATATACCTTTTGCCAGCAGGCACAGCTGCGCCTCAGGAGAAGGATTCATTTTCTGTGTAAGGAAGGTTCCATTGTCTCTGGCTAGGCACCATCCAGTTATTACTGCCAACACTTATACTATCACTGGTTAGAGCAAGGATTACAGGTGTCACCAGTAGCAGAATGGCGGGGGGGAAGAGGGCAGCAGCCCTGGACACTTTTTGTAAAAGGACACAAAATAGCCACTGCCACCATTAGCACAGTGACAGCGAGTGCTGTCCCAGATGTAGGGCTGCTCTCTTACACCTCTGGGTGTCACCGTGACCTCTCCTTTGCCAGAAGGTCTTCAGACATCTTCAGTCCTCTCAAAAGTTGAAAGGATTCAGTGCTATAGTTGAAGGATCCATAGGCCCCTGGCAGCTGTTACAATTAAGATGTGATAAACCTGTTAATCACACCATAAATAATAACTCAGACATGCATAATGGCATGACAAAATGGGAAACCAGCCACAAAAATATTCCACAAAAGATGTGTAACTCCATATGGGAGTTTCAAACTGGCTCCTCCATGGGCCTGGGACTGTTCAAAATAGACTGGTGCAATCCTGAGTTGGGACCGACAACTGATTGTTTGCTCTGGGACCACTCCAGTTCAATTGGGCTATGGGTACCGGGCTTTCAATTTGCTGCTGCAGGGGAAGCCCAGGAATTTAGGCTCTCCCTGCCCTGGCAAGTAGCAGTGACATCATTGGGATCTGATGCCAAGATCACACGAATTCTGGGAGGCACGATTGTTAGGATCAGGGATGAGCTCCCACCACACTATAAAATGAACGTGTGCCGGGGTCCTAGAGCCAGCCCTGGATACCTGCAAACTAGTAGCAAGTAGGTAATGCTCTTAAGAAAAGAGGATAGAATTTTTTAATAACATTTGTATTTCACCCTTAAATCAGATGAACCATGTCCCTGGGCTTTATGGGCCACTCTTGATTCAGCTTGGTTTCTGTAATTTTTTTAGTTCCCCATTTATTAATGTCCCAGTTGGATCTTTCTTTTTCAAGAGCATATTAATTCATCTCAGTAGTCTTATCTTCTTTTAGATGTATAACCTCTGTGGACCTGAAATACAGTGTTGACTACCTTAATGCAAAATATGTATGTATGGTATGAGAACTCCAATGAACTTTACTTTCTCTTGGTTTACATCCTTGTATCATGACCACAATCATGCTTCAGCATACACTGCTATCTTATGCAGATTACCTCACTAAGTAATGACAAATAATTGTGAAACTTCTGATTTGGTAAAGGCAGAGGAGAAAATGCTAGGCCAGACAGCGTATATCATGATGCTTCACTTAGCTGAGTAATTGACATGATATTCCTTATTCATGGTTACTCTTAGAAGCATTGTCAAACAAGTTACTACATATTAAAGCTATTCTACCTATGCAAAATGAATTTGGACCCAAGTCTAGTTCCTAAAAGTAAGTCATCCGCATTGGAATTGGTAGTTGTAACAGGGATATTAATGCTCCTGTTACTTTAAGGGAAAACTTGTGGCAGACAGAGACCAGGCAGCGGAATAAAGGTCAGCTGCAAAGGAATAAGCAGCCAAGGAGCACTGTTCCTTAGGCAGAGAGCTGCACATTAAGATGGAGAACACCTGCAGCCAGTCAAGGGAACATTGCTCAGAGCCAGCTGGCTGCAAGAAGGCAGGCAATTAGAGGCCAAAGGCTTGAAGTGCCTAGATCAGATGTAGCTCTGCTGCCATAAAACAATCAGGCAGAGCCTAGACGGGTGACAAAGAAGCAGTGGTCATGGTAATTGTAAGCTCCCTTGGAAGCTACATGGCAGGTCCTGAAGAGCAATCCCTGTGTATGATAGAGAGGGGGCAGGTCTTAAAGCAGGGGAAGGCAAAATATGGCCCATGGGCCAGATGTAGCCCACCAGGCCATTCTGTTTGGCCCACAGGGCCCCTAAAAAAAATTAGAAAATTATTTTCCTGTGGCTGCCTGTCAAAGATGAAAAGGCACCAGCAGCAGCAAGACCCAGGAGCAGCAGCAAGGCCCACCCTGCCCTGCCCCACCCCCAACCCTTACCTAGAATCTTCTGCCTAGCAGAGGCCTCAGGCCTGGTGACCTTTGGGCTGTTCCCCACCCTCCCTTCATCCAAGAGTGGAAGCTCAGATGAGAACAGGCAGGGATGCGGGAGGATTGCCGGCAAAGCAGGAACCAGCCTGGCCCAACCAATACCCCGTGGTTTCTAGCTGGCTTCTGCTGTGCCATTTGGTCCTAGCCATGCAGCTGGGAACCATGTGCTGCTAGGGCAGCAGGCAGGTGGGGAGAAACGGCAGGTGGGGGGTGGGGAAAGCAGTGGTAGCAGGCGGGGAAGGAAGGGAAGTGGCAGGAGAAAGGCAGCAGTGGCAGGTGTGGTGTGGAAAGCAGTGGGCAAGACCGCAGGGCCCTAGGGCCAGGGCTGGTGGCAGCAGGAGCCAGCTGGGACCCACAGGGGCTGGGCTGGCTCCTGCTGTGTTCTGCAGTGCCAGCATTGCAGCTGGGAACCACGCACTGCTAGGAGGTGCCCAGCAAGGCCGCCAACTCCATGCCACACCACGGAGTTCCCAGCTGCAACACTGGGACTGCAGAACGCAGCAGGAGTCCCAGCATTGCACGGAGGACCATGTGGTGTGGCACGGAGCTGGCTGGGCACATGCCGGCACCACACAGTTCCCAGCAGTGTGGCACTGAGCCAGCCTGACCCGGCCTGTCCCTTCCAAGCACCATGCGGTTCCAGGCTGCAATGCCAGAACCCATGGAGCCAGCCAGACCAGCCCTGCAGCATGCAGTTCCCAGATGTAACACCAGGACCCACATGGAGCCAGCCCAGCCCAATGGCACACTAGTGCCAAGAGCTGTGAGGAGTCCCATGCCATCAGGCTGGGCCAGATTGCAGGGTTCCTGGCACTCTAGCTGGGATCCACACATGGAGGTACAGAACCAGAGTCCCGTGAGCCCCACATTGCATCCAGGAACCATGTGGAGCCCTGCCCCACACCCCACATTCACCAACATGAGGACACACACACACACACACACACAGTGGTAGCCAGTGTGCTTATGTTTTGGTAATAGTAATAACCAGAGGGCCAGATGGGTCTGATAGGGGAGGTTAGGAGATCCCAGTGGTGCCCAAGTGGCGCACAGCTGTTTTGGGGAATCACGCCAGAGGCCAGGGCCCAAGACAGAAGAGGTTCCTGTCAGGGAGAGTGAGACTAAAGGAGAGAGAGTTTGGAGCACAGTGCTCATCAGGGGCAAAACCAGAGCCTGAGTGGGGGGAAGACCAGGGCCAGGGACCATAGCCTAAATGGGGCAAGAATAGAGAGGGCCAAGGAGCCCAGTACACAAGGGGCAAGAACCTTGCCATCGGCCAGGAAGCAGAACCACAGCCTGAAAGAGGTGACAACTGAGGCCGGGGCCTGTAACCTAAAGGGGATGAGAATAAACGGGGCCAAGAAGCCCATAGCCCAAGAGCGAGAACTAGGGCCAGGGGCCCATAGCCCAGAGGAGCAGAAGTGGGCGAAGACATAGCAGCCTGAGCCCTAAGGACGGCAGTGGATGATAGAGACACAGAGGCCTGAGCCTCAGGAGAGGGAGAGACTGAGAAAAGGCAAAGAGTCCTGAATGGACTAGAGCAGAGTCTGGGGGCTGAGTGCCCATTGATGAATGATTGGTACTTGCAAAGCATGGGGATGACTGTAGGGGAGGTCGGAGGCCATGAATAGCCTATAAGGCATCTGGTGTCCTAAGGGGCAAGTATGGAGGGCTCACCTAGCATAGGGATAGATTGGGATCAGTGGGATCCGAGTGGGATCCACTGGCCAGAAGATAAACCAAGGCTCACTCTAAGGTCCTTGGGCAGGCTCCCTTTCTAAATCTATCAAGAATACCAAGGTGTGGCAGGTGAGAGCAAAGGTGGAGTAGCTTAGTGGCAGAGCTGGGCAGGAACTGTTTGACCACCAGGGGCACAGTCCTGTTACTGTAGTCTTCAAAGCCAAAAAAATGTTAATCCATAAAGATCAATACAATTTCAATTCTAGAGAGAAAAAGAATACAAGGTTGGTAATGTGGAAACGTGCCTGTTGTGGCTGATAGAGAATGCCTCAGTTTCAATGGATGTGAGTTTTGGTTCCTGTCACAGACAGTAGAGACAGTTTTTTTAAAGGGTAAATGCAATACATTACCATCATCGTGGGTGTATATGTTCAAAGCAGAATGAAAGTACTCTGCATCAATTTATGCACTTATACAATTGTGAAGTTTGAAAAAAGATCATAGTTGAATATATCAAACGTTACATGGATGGAATGAATAGAAAGTACAAATACAGACAAGGGAATGACTGGTTAGCCTGCAGCATTGCAGAGAAGGACCTGGGAGTTGTAGTAGACCTTAAGCTGAATATGAGCCTATAGTGTGTGCAAAAAAAAAAGAAAGAAAACAACCCGTCAACAGCATACTGGGTTGTATTAAAATAAGTGTCAGCTGTAAATCAAGGGAAGTGATTTTTCTGCTGTATTCAGCACTGGTGAGGCCTCATCTGGAGTAGTGTCCAATTTTGGGCCTCACACTTCAAGAAGGATGTGGACAGTCTGGAAAGAGTCCACCACAGAGCAATAAAAATGATTAGAGGCCTGGGAAACATGACTTTAGAGGAAAGGCTGAAAGAACTAAGGTTATTTAGTCTGGAGGAGAGAAGACTGAGGAGGGGATTTGATAACAGTCTTCAAATACCTG